TCTTTGAATCAATCATCTTGAAGTCCAGAAATTTACCGATAATGAATTTCTTCAATCCGGCATCTTCGGTTTTGTATTTCTTGTCCAGACTATCCCATAACTCTTTAGCCGTTTTTAGCGGACTATATACGTTATAGAGAGTATTGTCCAGACCGTTGAGGACATAGTTGCGACACAGGAAGTCAGAATGATTCCATGCATCCACAGCAGCAAGCTTTTCTTTATTTGTCTCTCCAACGTCCAATTTAGGACCATCCTCATTGAGGAATCTAGCCAAGTTCAAGGTCGTGAGATAGAACAACATCTTTTGTTGCCATCTCTTGAAATTCGTACCATTGAACTTTTCTGGCTTTTCTCCGTGATTCGGAATAGGATTAACCGAAGTCGAAGCCGAAGCCATTTCTGAAATATAAACACATACCATATTCACGAACAGAATTGAAAATTTCTAATATGAACAGTATTCGAAAAATTTGTTAACGAACAGAATGTGCAAACAGAATCGTATTCTATACGACTATGACAAGGAACATACGAACTATACAAAAGTTCGAATTAAAGAAACGGCAATATGATATTTGATAGAAAAACTCAATGAACAACGCATAAGAATATACGAACAGAACCGAAGTAAAATTCGTCTTAAGATTGTAGTCGGCTAAGTTCGTATATCAGAAATTAAAATCAAACGTTAGGAAAAACTAACCTGAAAGCAGTACAACTAAATAAGCAGAATGTTGATCCGATCCCAACGAAATAACGTCGTGTCCTTAAGACGAATTTGGCCCCTCAATCAGTACCCGAGGATATTGGACAATCGTCTCCCAGGATAGAACGGATCTCGTTCCTCCGAAGCGGTACGTATTCGGAGGACTCCAACGAACGCAATTTTGCAGAACAATCGCACCAAATGAAAATGATGAAGTGAATATGCGTAGAGTGCGGAGGACTCCAACGAACGCAATTTTGCAGAACAATCGCACCAAATGAAAATGATGAAGTGAATATGCGTAGAGTGCGTCGGGAAAAATGAATGCCACGAAGTGATGTCTATTCCGAACTAAACTGTTAGGTCTTATTCAAGTGACGAAAAATGAAGAGTCGCGAGTTTTCGTGAATAGTAGCGAAGGTTCACTTGAACCGGTTCGGTTCATGAACAGTCGCGAGAAGGGCTTCGGTTTTCTGTTCGGGCGAACCGAACCTCACGAACAGACATGTTTATTTGTCCAAAAAATAAATAAATAAATAAATTCTAAACAACGTGTCTGTTCGAAAAAAATAAAAACCGATAGAGAGTGGACCCGGAACCGAACCGAGCCGAGCCGGCCGGACGGACGGCGGCGGCGGCTGGACCGACCTAGCTTGACGTAGGTCCTCTCTCTTCCACAAAAGTGGGGTACCCCTTGGGGCCCAAACCCATTTGTGAGGCTCAACTATTTGAACCCATCTCCCATCTCTCTTCTACCCTATGTGGGACACTTTCACCCACACACTTCTCATTCAATTCTATGGGATTTTGGTTCCAAAATCCCAACATCTCTTAGGCTAACTTCCAAGAAATGAGAAATTCACGGCAAACCTTCTACTTTTTCCCTTGATATCCTATGAAGCCGACACAGCAGGTTTGTCGTCTTCACATCTGTGTTAAAAATGCATGATTCATGCAGCATTGGCGAACGTTAGGGTATATGCTCGACTTAAGACCACTTCTCGAGTTGCTCATAAGAGAAAAAGTTACCTTTTAATCTATGGACTGGAACAAAAATGGGAACTTACTTTTCTGGGAGGTGCAATGTGGGATAAAGATGGTGCAAGATCTTTGAGGCGTCGCGACGGTGCATTGCTCGTCCAACTACACAATATCTGCCGCTAGCTAAACGATTTTCAAGAGCTTAAATGTGTGCTTGTCCAACGTCTCGGACATCAACAAATCCGTAGGACGCATTGGGAAATTCTTCGGTTCCTACATCATACGTGCCTTTGATTATTCCCGCTGCAGACACCATTTTCTTAAAGGAAAATCACTTTCCTAGTGCAACTGGGTTTCTTCTTGCACATGTAAATGAATTACGGGTACGTTTGGTTCAGTATTTTGAAAGCCCCTTTAGGGCCCAAAGCCCCTTGGGGAAAATTTTGGGTGTTTGGCAATTATTCCCACAAACAACTAAAAATTGACAAACATAAAAATGTACAAACTTTAGTGGAATGGATTTGAAAGCCCCTTTGGGGCTCATCTACAATTGATTCATTCACAAGAAATCATCATAGATCAAGGTATGCGTCTCATCTATTATGATATTGTGAAAACCATCTTGCTCTAAGATTTTGGGTATGATGTTTATGCAAATATTAGGGTTTGATTTACATAGAATTGATTTGATCTTACATGAATAGCAACAACTCAAGTGCTTCTCCTTTATTGCCCTGTGTATCACTAGCTCAAAGAGACTGCCGCTCACGAATTGCATTATGCAACGGCTCCTTATTTGAGGTTATTTTTGCAATTTTCAGTCACAAACCCTCTTGTCACAGATCCATACCAGCCAACCCCACATTAAACTAATTAAAATTTTTTGTATCTTACCTTATCAAACCAACCCGTAAAACAGTAAATTTTAATCTCAATTAATCTAGCCCGCATAAAAAAACACTTACATCCCTTTCTCCGAATATACACGGAAATGAGTTGGAATTTAAATCCCCTTCAATGTGCGCGTATATCCTTTTCCATATTAAGCCATTTCTTCTTGATTTCTTTCCAAGAAGCTTGATGTGTGCCCGATTGAGCTCTCCCTTTCTCCGATATTCGTGCCGTTCGCTGTGCCTCTTTCTTGGACGAGAGTATGGCTGAATATTGCCCGAATCTGCTTCCTCTTTCCGGATTCTTGTCGAGAATATTGTCTTCAATTACGGCCAGATTTTTCTCATCGATTTTCGTCCTTAACGGTGCATATTATCTTTGCCTTCCGGAGACGATTGCCCCAATCACGTGCCCACCTTCCTTGCCAAGAATCATATATATTTAGCCCATGTTTTCCTTTTTGCTTCGCCCCAGAATCTTTCCACGAGCTAAATTTCCCATCTTGGACTTTGCTGAAATTCCTTTTACTTTCCCAACTTAGATGACCAATGCAGGGCAGACGTGGAATTCAGCTACGCAATCCACCACCGGGTCAATGAAATTATTCAATGCGCACATGCTTTAGAATGCCTAAATTCAACACAATATTAATATTTTTGTTTACGAGTCAAACTTGATTCCTTTTTTTTTTTTAATGTAATGAATGGAGTAAATTGAGTAACCAAAATTTAGGTGTCAACAATACCACGCTATAAAGTATGTTGGCCAGCAATGATATAACCTCAAGGGTTTTTGCCAGATGATTCAAACGTCAGGTGAATGATAGATAAAAGTTGCATTCAATTGAGGAACAATTGAATTTAAGGGACAAAAACACCTGTTCCGTCCATTTCGAGGACTCGAAGGAAAAGGAGAAACCTGTCCATTTGAAAAATATTCCGGACTTCTTTTGCTGCTCTCATTTTTGTCTTCCTCACAGCCGCTCCAACCATAACGTCTCCAGATTTCGTCCAATTCTCTCAGAACTTCTGAAATTTCTCGTCATTTCTCCAAATTTTAAGCTAATTCTATGACCGATATATGAAGATTTCGTCCCTCTTATACTTATTGCTCTATGTTTTTTTCTCTCTCTATTTTTACCCTCCACATCAAGGAAATCTGTCCGGAGGGGTTCAAATCCTATGCGACCCATCCTATACGAATCCCCAGGAGTTCGTCTATGAGCAAGGCCAAGCTGGAATTATTAAAGCCACGGTTTTCGTTATGTTCGATAATCGGATCGAAGTCGGAGTCCCACTTGGTTTTTGTAATTATATCTCCTAATCTAAATCAGGATAATAGAGAACAGACTCAACTTATCACAACTAAAAATTCATAAAAATGTACTTCACTCAAGCAGATAATAAATAAAGCAATATTATTTATTAGTTGTGGAATGAAACCACAAAGTTATTACATAACTCAATCAATTGCCTTTGTTCAGATGAAAGTCCAAAACTTTAGTGCAATGAATAGATCTTCTGGCAACCCTGAGAGCATGAATCCGCACAAGCTCTGACTTTCTTCACGTCCACTTCAACTTTCTTGGTGTCTGCATGAGTTCCAATAAGAAACAAGAAATTAAAAATGTTACTTATATCAGGATTGAAGTTCATTTTTTTTTAACAAGAGCATATATCGAAGTCCAAGAAACGAAATAATTTAGTACGCAGCTAGCTCTCGTAATTAAAATATAACAACGAAACATTGATAAAGAAACAAGATTATACAATAACTTTCTTGGTTTTATGAATTTGATAAGAAGTTACGTTCTCGATGCGAAGATTATTACCCGCATGATAGTCCATGCAAGTAGACAAGAAACAACCGACATCGCAATGCTCTAGTGCCGCAGACGTAGGGGGCCCTGTTAAGCAACGATTGATGCAGTCCGCACTGCATTGCAATGAATCGGGGTCAAAGATACAGAAAAATGCACACTTCAATGCACATTTCGCAGATATGCGTGCGTCGGCTACGATGGAAGACGACAGTATCAGAACCGCCACGAACATCATTGACCCCATTCTCTTGGATGCTGTTACCTCCATGGCCATATACACCCCACCTGTTATTAACCTCTCTCTCACGTAATGAGTTTTGAGCTAGTGTAGTGAGGTGTTGAAATGAGTAGCACCTTTATATACTGAGATATCCATTCAAGTTGCTGAATGAGTTGATGAGTAAAGAGGTAAGAAAAGGAAATTATCTTTTCCATTTAATGATAATATGCTTGACCTTATCCTTTAGTCGATTTGGAAATTTAGCTGAGAATTTCTTTTTTCTTACCAAATTTCAGGTCCAGTAAAGAAGGTGATATTAGTTGCCACCTATTGCGAGATTTTCTTCTAAATGTGGGTACTTGTCAAATTTGATCTCGTCAGCAACGAAACTGTACAGGGACAAGTATCAGGTATATATACACCTATCTCGGTGATTTCCCCTTCTTTTGGCAAACTATTGAGTTGAATATGCATGGTAATTGCCTCGTATATTATGCACAATCAGGCCGCTCAAAATGGGAAAATAGGCATGGTAATTGCAAGTTTCTGGATGACCCCAAGGCATTCGACGAACATCAGTAGGAAGGCAGCCTCTAGAGCTCTTGACTTTCAGTTTGGATGGTAAGTATTTAATTTATCAGAAGGTACGTAAAAATTTATTCCCCCTAGTACTCATATATTGCGTTTGGTCATCTGGATTTTCTAGCTATGATAGGATTGAATAAGATATGATATGAAATCCAAGAAATTTGCTATATCCTCTACATTGTTTGGTAAATTGTGAAATTAAAACCGGATGTTTCAATATTATCATGTCCACTATTTGCTATGAACGACATATCATTGAAAAATAACCTACAAATTGCACAAATGGAGATGGTAAGAATCTCTTACGACACTCTTGTCTACGTCATTTAATTGCTTATTTTATTTATTATTTTTCCCTATCTTTTTTATTTCTTTTCTTTTTTATCTTCTTTCCCCTTTCCATCATTCTCTAATAAAATTTTATTGAATATTAAACTATAATAATATACCTAAAACATGTAATAAATATAAATACTAAATATTTATTTTTATATATGGAATTTATATCATAAGATAGAAAGAATTTTGAATATATAAATAAATAAAAAGGAAATTGTTGTTATTTTTTTATTTTGAATTTTTTATATAAGAATTCAAATATTATTTATATTCGAATATTATTTAAATTTTATTAATTTAACAAGTTTGTTATTCAAGAAAAGTAACATTCATATTATGGATATTAGAAATCCTATCTACCTTTATCCTACCTTCTTCAAGGAATAATTTTATCCAGGCTATATTCTTCCTATATCCGACTTTATCCTATCTTGGGTAGGTACCAAACACAGGATAGAATATCCTGTCCTGAATTTTATCCTGACTACAAAACATAGTAAGGTTCTAAATATGCATTTTCACATAATAGCAATTTTACCTCGACGAAAGAGTCATTTTTGCCCTTCCTCAGAAATTTTATATGTCACATGAGTAAGTGCATTGTGTGCCGATGACGTAAGGTTTGCTCATCCTATTACCTATGGTGACTACCAAAAATCGATGAGGAGATATGTTGGTGAACGGTTACCCAAAATCACAGAAGCACAGTCAGAGGCGCTAAAAGGCTCTCATGACTACATGGGGGTAAATTACTACACAGCAAGATACGTAGATGAATTCGCAACCCCTTTCACCACTCTCAATCTTAAGTTACACCACCGATTGCCATTGTAATTTGACCGGTAAGCATGCACTACCACTGCCCAATCAATTCATCCAATAATACCTCGGACAAGTTATTTACTCCCATGCGCTCTTCTTCATTGATTGCCTAATTAACTTTGTTTGTTATCTGTGTTGCTACCAGCTGAGAAAGATGGCATTCCGATTGGCCAACCGGTAATGTGTCTACCACAAGCACCTTAAAGAATCTATGCAATGTTCATGCGTTAATCGCATGCTAAGAATAATGCTGATATAGAAATTAACTAAACAAAATTGCAGACCGCTGCCGAGTGGCCGTACATATACCCAAAGGGTATCAGAGAGTTGATGCTCCACGTGAAGAAAAACTACGAGGATCCGACCATTTATGTGACGGAGAATGGTAATACATGTATCAATGTCAGTGACAGTAACTTTGCTTGGGTTGAGGGGTCTCCTTGTAATTTTTCTTTAATACCTGTTTTGTGCAACCACAGGAACGGCAGTTGCAAATAACAAATCGTTGCCGCCTGAAGATGCACTGATAGATAGATTGAGAATAATTAGTAACTTTCAGCAGCATCTCTCAAATCTCTCCAAGGCTATTGAGTAAGTAGTTCAATATCGATAATGGGTATGCATCGGTGGTAACAATGATGATATTTTGATAAAAAGCAATATATACACGAATTCGTCATTGACAGGGAAGGAGTGAATGTGAAAGGATGCTTTGTGCGGAGTTTCCTAGACGACTTCGAGTGGGCGGAGGGTTATACAACCCGATACGGCCTCATATTCGTGGATTACGGGAATGGATTGAAGCGATACCTGAAGCAATCGGCGTACTGGTTCAAAAGTCCTACGAAAGGATAATGCGACTGTCAACTTCTCCTTGCAGAGCGATGCCTAGCATATTTACTTCTTGCATGATTGTTGTCTTCATCGATATAAATGAGTGGAGAGAGTATGTATGAGCATTCGGATTGTTTTTAAAAGTGAAACAGATTGAATTTCTATCTACCTTGAGGATAAAGGGGCTGCGTCCCTGCAACACTTCTTGATCCAAACTGATCGAAGGAACAGGCATGAAGAGTCCGGTGGTGTTGGTTTGCAATTTTGAGGCACCGCAAATGTTTGCATTTCTTTCTTCCAACGTATAAGAATTTATATGATTTTTCCCCTTTTTTTTACTTTTTTTTTTATCCTTTTCTGAATTTAACTCAAGAAAAACTTATTTTTGTAATTTTGTTAACTTCTCTTTTATGCAAATAATTGTACTTTTGTTCTTTATATTTCCAAATCAATTTGTCAATGTATCTTCTCTGAGTTTATTTTACTTTTCTTTGATTTTTATTTGTTGACAATCCTTTGAAAATATTAGCAATTTAAATCAAATTTAGAATAAATTATTGGAGTACCATTATCTTATTGGCAAATGATACAATTAATACCGATCGTTTTTATCGTTTTTTAATCAAACTTTTGTTAGTACGACACATTTAGAAGCGGTCGTTGTTCATATTTTTCGTTTGCCATAGCCCCGTTGACATCAATTATGTTTCATATATAATTTTTTCCAAAGGCACGACCATAAATATACTTCTGCTTTTGCAAAAATTAGGTTTTCTTTCTCAAATTGGTTTGGGTCTTATCAAATTAGTTCATTCTGTCAAACTAAGGTAAAAAAAAATTAATCCGATAAACACATTATTGTTTCCTGATTGAATTCTTGATAAACTATTAATTTCCTTATGATGCAAAAAAACTTTCAATTTACTTTTCCACATTAGTTCGTTTTTTTATGTATTCGTAGGAAATTCTATTTATTTGAGTATACCTATATACATTTAACTTTATTCATAAACATTTACCTTTCATAATTTAATCTTAAAAGTCGATGTGTACATAAAACATTTTACTTTGTTATTGCCTAATAACAATATGAAAATAAATAGTTAATGCTGTTATGAAATGTCTACAGTCAAATTTTGTTTTTTTGTAATAGCCAAAGTTAAAATGAGGCACTGATTCACCATCTAGATAAGAACAGAATGAAAAAAAACTACATTTGATGGTCCTAACAATTATGGTATGTATATACCAATATTCTCAACAAAATTATTCTTCTCTTGGGTGCGTTTGTTTTGTGAAAAATAAATGATTTTGAAAACATTTTCCTAACAATGATCACTTATATCACTTATAAAAATGAATAAAAAAATATTTCAACCGTTCATGAAAATATTTAGAAATAAATGATTATCGATAATGAAAAAAAGATTTCATTTACTAATTATTTCAAACGATACAAGTGATTATTTTTAGGAAAATGTTTTCTAAATCATTAATTTTTCGTGAAACAAACGGAATCTTAAATGAATATTATGATGTGGAAATAATCTATTGGCTCGAAAGTATTTTACATGGGGGAAAAAGGGGAAAATTTTAATTAAGGATAAAAAGTGGGTCTCTTTTATCAAAAATGGAGCTCAAGTGGACAATGTCTCAATTAAGGACCTAAAGTGCCCAAACCAGTCTCAAATAAGGACCCCAGCTCGCCGGCCGGCGAGCGTGAGATATTTCCGACGCCGGAATATGGGCAATTTTGTCTTTTTCTTTTCTTTTCCTTTCTTTTTTTTCTTTTTCCTTTTTTCTTTTTCTCTCTTCCCACTTGTGGCTATCGTCGGCGACATCCGCCAGCCTCAGGCGAGGGCCGCCTTCACCGGCATCGAGCGAAGGCCGGTCTCGTGGGCGTCGAGCGAGCGTCGCCCTCGCCTAGGCGAGAGAGAGTCGCCCTCGCCTTGGCCAGATCCGACGAGGGCTGCTCTTGGCCTCGCCGGATCTGGCGAGGGCGAGGGTTGCCCTCGCCGGATCTAGCGAGGGCGAGGGTGGCTCTCGCCAGCCCAGGCGAGGGCGACCCTCGCCCGACGCTGGTGAGGGCAAACCTCGCTTGGGCTGACGAGGCCAAGGCCGGCCCTCGTCGGATCTGGGCGGGCAAGGGTTGCAGTGAGGACCACCCTCGACCTTGCTGGCGTCAGGCAAGGGTCGCCCTCGCCTGGGCTGGCGAGGGCGTTCCTCGCTAGATCTGGCGAGGGCAACCCTCGCCCTCGCCCGATCCGGCAAGGCCAAGGGCGGCCCTTGCTTGAGGTCGACGGACATCGCCGAACCTCATCGGGCATGCGACATCCTTTACTAGCCCCTACGCCCCTTACTCGGCATCCATTCTGAGTCTGACTCATCCCCATCTGAATCTGAACTTCCCTGATCGGCTTGCTCCTCTGAAGACTCCGTCTTCGCCTCAATCTCAATCGGGTGATTGATGTCGCCCGACTCAGTTGGAACTTCATTCTGATTCTCCTCAGCTAGAAAATCAAAGAAATTGTACGCAGGCATGAAATTGGGATCCATATATTGCTCAAAAGGGAGTATATATTCCGGGTCTCCTACAGGCTCTTCCGACTCCTCAGACTCATCATTAGGCTCTACCTCGGGTTCTATTTCGGGCTCCGCTTCCTCTGGTTCTTCCTCGGGGATCGGTTCTAAATCTATGTCCATTGGTTCAGCTTCAGCTTGCGATGCTTCGGGCTCGGGTTCATGCTCAGCCTCCGAAGATCCTTGTGCGGCGGGTGCGGGATGCATCCCAGATTGCGCTAAGCTAACCTCTGTACTGGTCAATTCTCCATCTATCGGGGGTATGGCAGCCGGATCCCAATCCCCAACGAGATCAAACGGAACATCAAAACCCCTAACGGGCCCGAACTCATCTCCATCTACATCCCGGAAGAACCAGGCGGTATAAACATGGGGTTCCCATAACGGTAGTCCTACCTCTACAAAAACGGTCGAAGTATGCTTAATCCAGGTCATGCCATCACCCATGGGAAATTCTGTAACTTCATTCTCGGTGTGCACAGGTACCCCAAAACGTTCTGGTGGCGGTGGCGGAGGATTCATGGCTCAGGTCGGGGTTCTGAAATATTGGTTGAGACAACCATGAGATCACATCTAAGTAAGTACACCCCTAAACCCCACCTAGGCTATCACGTACCTCCAGATAATTACACAAACACAATCACACAAATCAAATCATCACATAGCAGGCATATCACATACAATCACAATCGTGTACAAATCTCATGACATGCACTCATTCCGTTCTCATTATCTCGTTTCCACATGCCTCGCCAGTGACCTGCGTTACAGTATACGCCTCAGGTACACTGCGACCTCTTTCTACAACACTTCCGGGCTCGCGTAAACGGACACGCCTCGGGCCATGTTTCTTGTCCGCGTTGAAGTACACGCCTCAGGCTCAACATGTACCACCTACTGCGCAACCCGCGTTGAAGTACACGCCTCAGGCTGGCAGTCTTCCGGTAATACCGGGCATCGTCCCGCGTAAACATACACGCCTCAGGACGGCACAAATTCTACGAACTCAAGTTATACCACATCCACTTTTTATTTATGCACATGCTTAACAAGCATTTACCACACTCAACTGGCCAACCACACGTGACCCGTGCACGCATCAATTCACACGCAAACATGCTCACTAAGCATTTGACATGGCCAACTTTAATAATTTAATCAGTCTAGCCCAAGCGTGCACTCGACAAACATATTTCAATCATTTAATCACGCAACCACGCACTCAATTTTATCACCACAACCTAGTCATAGTTCAAACACGCATTAAACACACAATTTGCCATTTTCCTCCAACCAAATGGCGTCAAATCAATTCCGGCCCTTCACGGCACTTTCTCACAATTAATTGCCGGTTCTAAAAATCCACTTTGCGTCCCGATCGGCCCATCACAGCCCACTGTTCAGCCACTCACAACCCACTGTTGTTCTCAAATTCTCCATTAAAAATTTCCCTAATTCAATCCTAGGCCCGCTAATTGATTCTACTCGTAATCCATACAAATCCGCACCCCAACTAAACCCGATTTCAACCAAATTACCCGTCGATACCCAATATCCTAAGTCGGGTTTAGGGCGCGACTTACCGAGTTCTAGACTCACACGGCTAGAACGAAAAGCGGCAGCACTTAATCGGGAACGGCGGCGCGGCTTGGCGGCGAGAACGGCGACGGCGGGGGCGCGGCTTGCTTTGGCCGAGACCCACGGCCACACGGGGAGAGAGAGGGAGAGAGAGAACGGCGGGTGAGGGCTGGTGGTGGTGCGGCGGCGGTCCGGCGGGCGCACGGACGGCAGCGATCGGCGAGGGGAGGGGCGGTCGGCCGGAGGGGAAGAGCTCACGGTGGGGGGGGGGGGGGGGAATTTTCGGTGGGGAGAGAGAAAGGTTGGTCTTGACTCAAATAGTGCAAATTAGACCAAAATGGCAAATTATCATCATACCCTTGTCTAATCCTTTCATCCGACGGTCCAGATTCGATCCTATCTTGAAACCGACGGCCGAGATCGAATCTTACCAAAAATATCCAAGGGTAATCTTGTAATTTCTCAAAAAGTCCAAGGGCAAAATTGTCTTTTCCAAATTTGAGGGCAAAATGACCAAAATGCCCTTTGCCCATAAAACTAACCCTTTATTAATTCCCAAGGGTAAAATGGTCACTTTCTCTGTTTCTCGTCGAAATCGAACTTTTCTGAAAATCCGAAGAAATCCAGAGTTGTACGTTCCAATTACAACGTCGTCCAAAAGCCCTGCCGTGACTTTCTAAATTTTCTGATGCTCGGTTGGTCTCTAATCAATATTCAAATTATATATATAACGTAACTCGAGCGTTTCTCAGACTAACGGGTGGCTTTTGGGAAATTTGCCTGTACGACCCGTGACTGATACTAAATCGAGTCACGTGCAATTTATTCAGACCGTAACGACTTCGGTTGTCATTAAAATCGCGAGGATCAATTACTAGATCCGAGGGGTACGATCGTTCGGTATAGGTTCAGGATAATTCATCAAGTCATTTCGTGGTCCGGCGGAATCACCTGCGATCCATTACTATGACAGTGGCGAACTGACCCCTAACTATCCTTGGATCGGCCAACAATGGTTCAAAATATCACCTCGACGATTTCAT